TTAATTGAAAACTTCTCTCGATAGCGATCAAATATATTCCCCTCATGTGACCTTTCTATCTCTCGATGAAAGATGCAAATATGATAAATGCATTGACGAGTACTAGAACATCTATTGAAACCATATAAGGTATAGAGGTATATCTTTATCCTCTATTGAACCTTACAATCTTTATTATATTGTGCTTAAATTCTATTGTCTCTCTCAATAACATAAAATTCACTAACAATTCAACTGGTAATCAAGCAATTGAAAAGAACAATAAAAATAATAACAAACATCTACAAATCAAATCAAATTAAAGTCAAAATAATTAATTAAGAACTAAAAATATAATAATAATGGCTCATCCAATCCTAGCAATGTATAAAATTCGCCTAATATATTGAAATTACGAGACAATCATATTTAAGTGAAAAGACATAACCCGAATTTTTTATAAATTGAGAAAATGAAAATGAATATGAATATTGAAATCTTGAATTTTTTTCAACGGTTTCTTGATGAATCTCCACTTATGCATTCTCTTCTTTGCCCAAAAATCAAGTTTGAATCTTCACTTGATTGAATTCTTGCAAATCCTATGCAATTCTCTCACAAAAATTATGAATTTTCCTAATTTGATGATAATAATTAATGAATATTGGAGTATGAATTATATATGAGAGGTCCCCCAGTATGTAATCTGTTGTTATGTATTTGTAGGAGTAGAAAATTGGTTGAAATCAAGTCCAAATTGACTTCCAAAAGAGTTCTAATCGAACAAGGAAAGTTTCATTCACGCGCTGATTTTTTTGTCTCTACACAATAGTCAGTATTTTGGTTATAACTTTCTCTCCTAATATCCAGTTGATGCGATTCAAAGTGCGTTGGAAAACTAACTCAAAGGGCTAAAACCTTTCTGGAAATAGATTTTTTCCAATTCGAAGTTTTACTATGCCAAAAATTATTTTCAAGTTTTGACTAAAAATCTAGAATATAACTTGTGCGATTGTAAATTGATTTTGATCATATTCCATTCCTTTTTGAGTTCTAATTCCATCCAATTGTCTCCTAAAAATCTTTCAAGTATCATCTTTTGATCCGAATCAACTATTGAATATTTTCAATTTGGTCCTCAAACTTTGAATTTTGCCATTTTCACCATTTTTCGCTTCTTTCTTTCGATTTCTTGTTCAACCATTGAATTTTACCTATATAACATAAAATACAGCAATTTAAGATACACTTATTTAGAACCCTAAATAAGTGTATAAAATACACTTATCAAATACCCCCAAACTTAAATATTTGTTTGTTCTCAAACAAAATTATAACCCTTTTTTTTTTTTGGCAGAAGGAGGGTGGAACCTCCAAGAGTTTATTGATATGCCCTCACTTGTGTCGGAGGAATACCGTAGTTACATATAATAAATAATGAAAGCGATAAATGAGGAAACTACTTCCCTTATAATGTGTGTTTTTTTTTAAATAACAAATTAACATCTAATATTTTTAAATCAATCTCAAAACAATGCATTCAACGGATTCGAAAGGAAGGACAACCACTAGAATCTAAAATAAAACAACATATCGTAGTCTTAGAGAAGGCACTAATATAGGTAGAGAATTGAGAGTGTCCAGTTGTACCCATCTTAGCCAACGAGTCAGCAATCGAATTCGCCTCTAAAAAAATATGGGTGACTTTTAAATCAATGAAGTCAGCCATATCAACTATGTCATCCCAAACCTGCTGAAGAGACCAAGGAATAATACCCATCCCATTAAACCAATGACAAACCACTTGGGAATCTATTTCGACCCATACCTTTGAAACCCCCAAAATATAGCAATAATACAAACCAAATTTCAGAGCCATTGCTTCTGCCATGGAATTAGTAGCTACCCCAAGAGACTGAGAGAAGGCAAAAACAAATTTTCCTTTCCAATCTCTAAGCACCCCACCACATTTGGCTCTACCATGGTTACCACAACTAGCACCATCAATATTAAGTTTAAAAATATCACAAGGGGGACTATACCATTGAACAAGGAGAGAAGCTTTAGTTGTCAAAGGAGTGGGAACCATACCAAGACAATAGAGAGCAGCATGAAGAAGAGAGGGAGTAGCACGCGATGGACGGAGAAGTGGACTTAATTCAACCAACCAGTGTTTTACTTTGAAGCAAATTTTATAACCATCAAACCTCCATTGTATCTAGCCTCGTTGCGTGCAAGCCAAAGCTCCCAAGCAATGAGTGCCGGGGTCAAAAGTGCAAGTTGGTGAAGTTGCGAAGAACCATAAATTGGTGCAGCCAATTAGTAAGAACAACATGCCATGAACTAGCAAATACAATTCGAGCCCCAAATATGTTAGCAAAATGGGACTAGGCACGAGTCCCTAGTTCGCTAGTATGAAACAGGTGCTCAATTTCCTCCACCTTTGTATGAGAACAATAGTGACATTTTGATTCAAAAGGAACGCCACGACTTCTAACAGCATCATCCACTGGTATTATACCGCGCCAAACTCGCCAGAAAAAAACAGAGATTTTCACCGGAAGTAATTTATTCCAAATCAACTTGAAGAGATGAAATTTGTCCTTGGTCCACGTAATAGGCTCCAAGCCGTATTAGTAGAGAATTCTCCTGATGAAGTCGGACACCAAATAAGTTTATCCGACACTTACTTTAAGCAAATGGCCAGATTATGAATGTAGGCTACCAAATTGCCACCCCCAAGTCTATCAATAAGGTCAATATTCCAAGAACCCTTAGCGCAAATATCTTTCAGTTGTAACATAAGCTCAATAACAAGCCAGCCCTGGTTGTATAAAGAACCAAGACCTGACCAGTTTGTATACCAAAATGAGATCTTTCCTTCGTTGACTCTCCACCTACTTTGTTCTTGGATAAAGGGGAAATGTCTACTTAAACTATGCCAATAGTGAGATGCAGTAAGACCAGGTGAATAAGAGCTCATATTAAAATTTACCGTCAAATATTTCAGCTGTATGAATGAAGCCCAATAAGAGTCACCCGTCAAGACTCTCCATAGCATTTTACATTGGAGTGAGACAAAAACATCAAACAAACTTCGGACTCCCAATCCCCCTTCATCAATAGGAAAGCATACTTTCTTCCAAGCAATCCCGTGATATTTATATTTGCCCTCATAATCACCCCAGAAAAATTTTGCAAAGAGTTGATGAAGGTCATGGACTACTTTATCTGGAGGGTGTATCACTGACGTTAAATATATAGGTATAAAGGCTAACACTGATCGAAGGAGAGTAAGCTTACCTCCCCAAGAAAGAACCTTACATTTCCAGCCTGCAACCTTCTTACGAACTTTGTCTACCATCGGAGCAAATAACGAGGAAGTACAGCGGCCATAAAACATAGGGGCTCTTAAATAAATGTAGGGAAGAGAGCTCGCACAAAAATTAGTAACTGATTCAATAATCCTCCGACGAGAAAATGTTGTTTTTCTACCAACGATAAAGGAGCTTTTCTGAGTATTGACAAGCTGACCAAATACTTTTTCGTAAGAATGTAAGAATTCCATCAACACCTTAAGGGAGCCGCGAGACCAATTAGTGAACACTAGAAAATCATCTGCATATAATAGATGTGAAACAGGTAAACAGTTTTCGGGAACCTAATAAGGAGATGTTTTTTCTTCTTTTAATAAATTCAAGAGACCCCGAGATAAAAGCTCCTCACTCAAAATGAACAATAAAGGAGAGAGAGAGGGTCCCCTTGTCGAAGACCCCGAGAAGGTGCAAAGAAACCAACTTGTTCTCCATTAATTTTTATTGAAAATTTAGGGAAAGAAATAGCATTGCGAATAAGAGAGACCCAGCCTTCAGCAAAACCAAATGCTTTCAAGACGGCAAACAAGTAGTCCCACTCCACGCGATCAAAAGCCTTAGCCATATCAATCTTAAGTATAGTATTACCTCCACATGAGCGCTTGTTTAAATGCTGGACTAATTCTTGAGCGAGAGATATGTTTTTCGAGATCAAACGACCCGCCACAAAACCACTTTGATTCAAAGAGACAATTTTAGGAAGCACTTTAGACAAGCGATTGGCCATAATCTTGGTAATAATTTTGTAAAGCACTTGGCAAATACTTATAGGCCTAAAATCAAGAAAAAGTGTTAGAATTGTCTTTCTTTGGGATAAGCGAGATAACGGAAGGCCCCAAGGAGTCTGAACAAAGAGCCCCTGCAAAGAATTCATGGACTGCTGCAATAAGATCATCAGAAATAATAGTCCAAACATGAATATATAGGGATGAAGAAAAACCGTTAGGACCCGGTGCAGAATCTTCAGGAATGCCTTTAACAGCTTCATATACTTCATGTTCCGAAACCACAGAAAGGAGCATATTGT